CCCCACACAGGGACACCAGGAGTTAGAACCAACTCCACAGCACACAGCCACCAAGGGTCCCACACAGGTCAATTTTAGGGTTGTGTCCCTGTGGTTGATGTCATAAGTATCAGCCAAACTCCTTCTCTCTGTACCATGGGCAAACTGTGGGGTCAGTGCTGGACCTCCTTTTTTTTGGGGGGGGGGGGTGCATCCACTCACCTAAAGTTGTCTGGGCTGGGTAAAGAAGGCATGACAGGAAAGAGGAGGGAAAAATGTGTAGCGTTTCCAGTGCCTCTTTTTGCAAATGTCCCTGCACTGCTTTTAGCGCCAGTTCCCTGAGCCGGTCTGGCTGTAGCCCCACCCAATAGACTGTACTAGGGTGGGGTGGCTGTAGAGGGAGTCCGTCTCCAGATTCCTAACTCACAGTATTTTCCTTAATATCATGATTTTTTCACTTGCGAGTGTGGCAAACTGACATCCTGGACCTTATGGTAGATCTGGAGCGCTGGAGTTGTTCTGTGAGTGCTTCCTCCATGAGTTCCCAGTCCCTCCACCACAGAGCCTTCCCTACCTGGCTTTCTCTATTGCCACCCAAACCAGAAGTCCTCCCCATTGCTTTCTTGCCTGCATGGTTTCCACTGAGAGATCCGAGCCTAATCTGATTTGCTTGCCTTTATATGTTACACTTCTCTTTTCCCTAGGTGCTTTCAGGATTCTGTCCTTATCTTTTATTTTGGAGAGCTTGATTACAATATGTCTTGGTGATTTCTTTTAGAGTCTTTCCTTCCTGGGGATCACTGAGCTTCTTGAATGCTTATCATTTTGCTTTTCAGGATGTTAGAGAAATTTTCTTCCAGAAGCTCTTCAACTATCTCATCTGTGGACTTGTGTGACTCTTCCTGTTCCAGAATGCCAATAATTCTTAAGTTATTCATCTTCATGTTGTCCAACATGAATCTTAGGCCTTCTTCAGACTTTTTAATCCTGTTTTCTGCTTGCCCTTCTATCTTAGTAGTCTTGAGAGATTTATCTTCTAGCTCATTAGTTCTGGCTTCTAACTCTTCAATTCTACTCCTTTGCCCTTTCAGTGTACTGTCCATTTCTGATATTCTATTATTAATTATTTGGACCTCTTTCTGTAGGTTTTGAATTGTTTCCAATGCTGTATCTATCTTATTTGATTGTTCCTGTAGCGCTTTCCTGATTTCTTCCTTATTTTTCTCAACTCCATTGGATAGTGTTTTGATACATTTTATAATCATTTTTCTGAATTCCTTCTCAGGCATTTCCAAAGCCTTCCCATCTTCCAGTGTTTAGTGTAGGTCTACTTCCAGCTCATTTGCCTCAGTTGCTTTATCTCATTTCTGGACGTGTGCTGATATGGTCATCTGTTTCTGTTTGGGTGCATATTTCAGGAGTTAGCTTGGCCTTAATACTTAGATGGGTGTGTATTTTGGTATTTTTTTATGCTTTCTGATTGCCTCCATGTAGATGTGATCAAGGAGGTGGGCTTCCCTTTTCACTCTTCTTGCTGAGAAATTTCAAGATGCCATTGTTGGTTGTTATGACGTAACTCAGGATTTAATTTTCAGCCTATTTCCTTTTTAGTCTGCCTGTCCTGCTCCCCAACCCCCATTCAGACCTTTTTTTCTAGTGATAAACAGTCCAGAGCCAGCTGTGGACATTCTGCGCTGGCATTTGGCTTTAAATGGAAGCTGTCTCTTTAAATTTCAAGGAGATCTGTGCACATGCCTAGTAGAACCCTCTGAGGGTGGGGTTAGGGTGGGGGTGGGGTGTCCACTCACTCAGGCACCCCCACTAGTCACCTTAATGGAGGTGCACAGACAGAGAGACCAATGAACAGATACACACACACACAAAAAGAATGTCAACACCTTTATGTTCACAGTTCTGTCTGGTGACGGTGGCTGCCCTGATCCTTCCCTCGCTTGGTCACCCCCAAGATGGTGGCTCTGAGAGAAGCTGAGCATCTTGGATTAGAAAGTACTGGATTTCTTGATTCTGCATTAATTCCTCTAGCTGTAAGCCTTCCAACCTTCTAAATATTCCTTTATATGTGGTCGAGTTCTGGCACCATCCCCTGAGCCAGCTTGGTCCGGTAATCTGTGTTGTTGCTGACGGAGCTCCTCACTGCACTTCCACCCAATCCGCCATCTTGTTTGTTCTCCAGGTCGGTGTTTTTTAGTATATTCACAGAGTAGCAAAACCCTTACTCCGACAGAGTTTTGGTTTTTGTCTCTCTCCTTTTTTAAAAAAGTTTTATTTTTTCCAGATCTATGGGACTTTGCAAATTCAAACTAAAGCTGAAGAAAATGAAAACAGGTCCACAAAAGCCAATATATGAGCTTGAATATATCTCACCTGAATTTAAAGATCATCAGAAGAACAGATTTGATACATTAAACACTAAAGACCAAAGACCAGAAGAATTGTGGGATGACATCAAGAACATCATACAGGAAGAAAGCAAAAAGTCATTAAGAAAGAAGGAAAAGATCAAAATGTATGTCAGAAGAGACACTGAAACTTGCTCTCCAGCATAGAGATGCTAAAGCAAATGGAAGAAATGAGGAGGTACAAGAACTGAACAGAACATTTCAAAGATCAGCTAGAGAAGACAAAGTCATATATTACAACAAAATGTGCAAAGATCAGAAGTCAGAAAACCAAAAAGGAAGAACACGCTCTGCATTTCTCAAGCTGGGGGAACTGAACAGAAACTTCAAGCCTCAACTTTCGTTATTGAAGGATTCTCTGGTCACATTATTGAATGATGCAGAAAGCATCAAAAGAAGATGGAAGGAATATACAGAGTCACTGTACCAAAAGGAAATGGTTGATGTTCAACCGTTTCAAGAGGTAGCATATCATCAAGAGCCAATGATACTAAAGGAAGAAGTCCAAGGTGCACTGAAGAAATTGGCAAAGAACAAGGCACCAGGAATTGATGGAATAAAAATTGAAATCTTTCAACAAAGTAAGGCAGCACTGGAGGCACTGATTCATCTCTGCCAAGAAATTTGGAAGACTGATTGGAAGACTGACTAGAAGAGACCCGTATTTGTGCACATTCCAAAGAGAGGTGACCCAACGGAATGCGGAAATCATTTGACGGTATCTTTGATATGCCATGCGAGTAAAGTTTTACTAAAGGTAATACAGAAATGGCTGCAAGCATACATTGACAGAGAACTTCCAGAGGTTCAAGCAGGATTCAGAAGAGCCGTGGAACAAGGAATATCATTGCTGATGTCCGATGGATTGTGGCTGAAAACAGAGTATACCAGAAAGATGTTTACCTGTGCTTTATTGACTACACAAAAGCTTTTGATCGTGTGGATCATGACAAGCTATGGAAAACATTGTGAAGTATGAGTATTCCTAAACACTTAATTGTGCTCATGAGGAATCTGTACATGTACCAAGAGGCAGTTGTTCAAACAGAACATGGTAACACTGAATGGTTTAAAATTAAGAAAGGTGTTCGACAGGGTTGTATTCTTTCATCATACTTATTCAACTTGTATGCTGAGTAAATAATCAGAGAAGCTGGGTTATATGAAGAAAAAGTGGCACCAGGATTGGAGGAAGATTCATTAACAACCTGCGATATGCAGATGATACAACCTTGCTTGCTGAAAGTGAAGAGGACTTAAAGTATTTACTGATGAAGATCAAAGCACACAGCCTGTGGTATGGATTGCATCTCAATGTCAAGAAAACAAAAATCCTCACCACTGGACCAACAAATAACATTCTTATCAATGGAGGAAAGATTAAAGTTGTCAAGGACTTCATTCTTCTTGGACCAACCATCAACACTCATGGAAGCAGCTGTTAAGAAATCAGAGAACGTATTGCATTAGGCAAATCTGCTCCACAAGACCTTTTTAAAGTGTTGAAGAGCAAAAATGTCAGCTTGTGGACTAAGGTGCGCCTGACCCAAGCCATGATATTTTCAATAACCTCACATGCATGCAAAAGCTGGACAGTGAATAAGGATGACCATAGAAGAATTGATGCTTTTGAGTTATGGTGTTGGAGGAGAATATTGAAAGTGCCATGGGCTGCCAAATGAACCAACAGATCTGTGTTAGAAAATGTGCAGCCAGAGTGCTCCTTGGAGGCCAGGATGGCCAAACTTGTCTATCATATTTTGGACATTTTGTCAGAAGGTATCAGTCACTAGAGAAGGATATCATGTTTGGTACAGTGGAGGGTCAGAAAAAAGAGGAAGACTCCCAGCGAGATGGATTGCCAAAGTGACAGCATCAATGGATGCAAGCATGGCGACAATTGTGAGGTTGGCTCAGGACCGGGCAGTGTTTCGTTCTGTTGTGCATAGCATCACTATGAATCGGTACCGACTCGATGGCACCTAACAACAACAACAGGACTTTGAGAGTACATATGTGGCATCTGAGGATCCACTCATGCCATGGTTTTTATAGAGCAATACTAAGGATGTTCTTTTTAAAATAGCGTCTGATCTGACATATATAGACGTCTACATACTAAGTGTTGCTTCTTGTTGTTGTTAAGTGCCGTCGAGTTGTTTCCGACCCATAGCGACCCTGTATAGGATTTCCTTGGAGAGGCTGGTGAGCTTGAACCTCCGATCTTGCGGTTCGAACCGAACTTTGCAGTCCAGCACATTAACCCACAGTTGCTTAAGGCTAATGTGAATCGATGAACAAGTCAATGTTGTTGCTGTTTTTATGCAGTGGAGTGGCTTCTGAATCCTAGCTACTCTGTATAGGGTTTCTGAGGACCGACTGGTGGGTTTAATTCAGCATAGCGCTCAGCCTCAACTCGGGCCTCGGCACTGAGTCTCACTGATTGGCTGGTGTCAAGTGACGCCATCACATAGCGACTCAACAGTGGCGGCCGAGCGGGTAATGTGGTTAAGAGGTGGTTTGTTCACTTTGCTTGTGCAGTGGCCCTTTGCGTTTCCACCTCTCAGGTTTACCAGGGCTTGGGGGAGTTGGAAGGCCCTAATGGCGGAGTCATTATTGGTCGGGGCCGAAGTAACGGGAGGGCTGAAGGCTCCAGCTCAACAGAACGGAGACGCAGGAAGCCTGAAGCCAGCTGGACCTGGGGTAGAAACGGCCCCAGAGAGTGGGGAGCAAACCCTGGCTGCAGGCTCGGGCCAAGGCAAGCGGAAGAAGCGGCGAGGCGCTACTGGGGAGCGTATCGTGCCACCCCCGAAGAAACGGCGGGCCGGGGTGAGCTTCAGTGACGAGCACTTTGCTGAGACCAACTATTACTTCGAGGGTGGGCTGCGCAAGGTGCGGCCCTATTACTTCGATTTCCAGACCTACTGCAAAGGTCGCTGGGTGGGCCACAGCTTGTTGCACATCTTCAACACCGAGTTCCGAGCCCAGCCATTTACCTACTATGAGGCCGCGGTCCGAGCGGGACGCCTGCACCTCAACGATGAGAGGGTCCAGGACCTCAACATCATACTCAAGGTGGAGTCCTAATCCGAGTTGGCCGGGAGTAGCAGAGAAACTGGGGTAGAGGAGTATTGTTGTTTTGTTTGTTTTTTCAGAGTTAATAAGGCATAGTTACTGGATTAAAGTGCCCTGGTGGTTTTGTGGGTTAGGCTAACTGCAGTTCAAATTCACCAACTGTTCCGAGAGAGAAAGAAGAGGCTCTCTACTTCCTTAAAAGATTTATTATAGTCTTGGAAACACTATGTAGGGTCCCTATGAGTCGGAATCGATTAATGGCATTGGTTTTGGGGCTTTTAGGTTGTTGTTGTTGTTGTTAAGTACCTTGGAGTCGGTTCCGACTCATAGCGACCCTGTATAGGGTTTCTGAGGCTGCAAATCTTCACCAGAGCAGAAAGCCTCATATTTCTCCCGGGGAGCAGCTGCTAGTTTCGAACTAACGACCTGAGGTTAGCAGCCCGATTCGTACCAGAGGCTTTTAGGTAGTGGGTTAAAAACGTGGGAATTGTAAAGTGGCCACACTTTCACATGGAGCACCGATTTAGCAATACTGGTATCGTAGTGAGTTACGCTTTGGGCTGCTAACTGTAAGGCCAGCAGTTTGAAACCACCAGCTGCTGAGCGGGAGAAAGATGAAGCTTCCACCTCTCTAAAGATTTACAGCCTCAGAAACACTATACAACCACCCACCACCAGTGAGCTTCTCAGAACAGTTCCAACCCACCAGCCGCTTCAAACCCGCACCTGGGAAATCCCATACAAGGTGGCTATGAGTTGGAATCGGCTGATGGTACTTAACAAGACAGCCTTTTGATGCTTCAAAACTCAGCACATTTGCCCCTCTGTCTAGGTGGGCTGCTTTATTTCCAAAGTAGAGCAATTCTTTTTCTCTGTTGGAATTCCTGAAGTTCCTTTTATGCACTGTCTTGTGGCACCAGCACTTACCACTTTCTATTTTGTACGTAGATCCCTGTACAAATGGTAACGATGTTGTTAACTGCCAGAGACTCTGTATAGGGTTTACAAGGAAGAGCAGTTGGTAGGTTTGAACCACCACCTTTCACTTAGCTGTTCACTGCTTATCCAACAGCACCACATCAGGACTCCAGTAGTAATAGTGTTGTTGTTGTTAAGTGCTGTCGAGAATAGTAGCCATCATTGATGTTTCCTTATAGGAGTCCTGGTGTGGCACTGTGGGCTAATGCGTCAGACTGCAAAGTTATGTGAACTACAAGGTCAGTGGTTCTAGCTCACCAGCTGCTCCTTAGAAACCCTATACAGGGTCACTATGGGTCGGAATTGATTTGACGGCACTTAATAACAACAACATAGTGTGCTGAAGTCCTGGTAGTGTAGTGGGTTATGCCTTGGGCTGCAAACTATAGGGTCGGCAGTTCGAGTCCAGCAGGTGTTCTACTGGAGAAAGATGAGAGCTTCTGCTCCTTTAAAGATTTACAGCCTTGGTAACCCTATACAGGATCACTATGAGTCAGAATCAATTCCATAGCATACTGCCACTACCACCACCATGGGCTGGGCAAACAATTCAGCGTCTTAACTCATTTCATTCTAGTGATAACCTTGTGGGGTAGATTTTGCCACCTCCAAAGCTTGTGTTTTTATAACTGTTCACTTAAACAATATGGTATGTCATAGAATTGTGAGATGTCAAGAATGAAAACTGGAATTTTCAAGTCCAGTGTTTTGTCCCTTCAACCTCCCCCTACCTTTTCTTTCTTCCCTTTTTTTTTTTTATTTTTTTTTTTAATTTCACAGCTAAGAGATAACAGATACTGTTTGTTGTAACCAACACTGGGTCACCGTGGAGATGAGGAAAAACAAGATTTCAGAATTTGAGGAATGGGTGGTTTGAATTCCCTCTCCCACCCAGTTGTGAAAACCCAGGTCTAATCTAACCCTCACAGTTTTCAGATATGGAAATGGAGGCCTAGGAGACTTGTCTAAGCATTGAGTGAGCTTGTGACAAATCCAGTTGTGGAGCCCAGATCTGTGGGCTTACTGCTCAATGTTTTTTGTTCAAGGTCATAATCAATGGAGATTTTTTTTCCCTCTGTTTTTAAGAAAATTTGACTTTTAGAACATTTTTATCTTAAGGAAGCTAAAAATAAGTACACCCAAAAAACATCCATACTCTCACCACCCACAGATAATCACCATTAACATTTTTGTGTATATTCTAGAGCTTTTTTAGTGCCTATTATCTGCCTATGTGTCTAAAGTAAAATCACATCTTAAAGCAGAAAAAGGATTAAGGATATACTGTGAACGTTCTTCCATGTCTGTAAGTGTACTTCAGTGCCATCATTTAGCTACATGGTGGTCCATACACCTCTTGGTGTATGCTTTGCCATTTGAGTCAAGAACAGGGGAAGTAGGGTAGTGATGTTGACTGACTCCAGGTTGCTGACTCCAGGTTGCTGTCTCCAGGACTGATTTGTTGCTTATATCTTTGGCAGGACAATGACTTCTTGCGGAACACAGTGCACAGGCATGAACCACCAGTCACAGCAGAGCCTATCCGCCTACTAGCAGAGAATGAAGATGTGGTAGTTGTGGATAAGCCTTCCTCCATTCCTGTCCACCCCTGTGGCCGCTTTCGACATAATACGGTCATCTTCATCCTTGGCAAAGAGCACCAACTCAAAGAACTACACCCATTGCATCGACTTGACCGCCTTACCTCAGGGGTGCTTATGTTTGCTAAGACAGCTGCTGTTTCTGAAAGAATCCATGAGCAGGTCCGGGACCGGCAGGTGAGCCACGTCCTGGGCTCCTTCCTGAGTGCTCTGTATTAGAAGGGCATCACTGACTTCTAGGTCTGAAATGGGTCTGTGTAATAATCTGGCCGAACTTCCTACCTCCAGAAGTTCCATATCTAATGTTTCAAAAGATCTTTAGAAATGGTATATACACACAGCCTCTCTTGGTAGTTTGCAAAAAGTAAAAGTTCTAAAATTCTGACAGAATGAGCAGGGTTTTAAGATTATGGGGAGAGCCTACTTAGTGAAAAAATTCTGGGTGAAGTTGAAAGGGTTTAATAGTAGTGGTTGGGATCTGGATCATAATTCTAAATCTGGATCGCAATACATTTACTGTATATCAGGCTTGGTGCCAAGCACATTAAAGCCTTATTTACTGAATCCTTTCTATAGTTCTATGAGGAAAGTGCTTAAGTTAAAGAGGTTAAGTAGTATACCCAGAATCATTCAATGGGCAAATAATATAGCATTGGGGTTTGAATTTCTTTTTTCTGATCTGATGTATTACTCATAAGTCCACAGAGGGCCTGGGTTCCTAAAATTTAGGCTTTGTACTGACTCTCCCTATTCCTTCTTGTGCAGCTAGAGAAGGAGTATGTGTGCCGGGTGGCAGGGGAATTCCCTGCTGAGGAAGTGACCTGCAAGGAACCCATCCTGGTGGTATCTTACAAGGTGGGGGTGTGCCGTGTAGATCCCCAGGGCAAACCCTGTGAGACTGTGTTTCAGAGGCTGAACTACAATGGCCATTCCAGTGTGGTGCGGTGTCGGCCACTCACAGGGCGCACGCACCAGATCCGAGTCCACCTCCAGTTTCTGGGCCACCCCATCCTCAATGACCCTATCTACAACTCGCTTGCATGGGGTTCCTCTCGTGGCCGCGGCGGCCACATTCCCAAGACAGACGAGGAACTGCTACGAGACCTGGTAGCAGAACACCAGGCCAAACAGAGCTTGGAAGTGCTAGAGCTCTGTGAGGGCAACCTGCCCTCGGCACTCACAGAGTCCATGGCCCCTGCCTTAGAACGGGACAAGGACAGCCTGGAAGAATTAACTACAGCTGCTCAGAAAAGGAATAGTGGACTTGAGGCGGCCCCTCAGGATCTGGACACATTGACCTTGGCACCAGGGAATGCAGCTGAAGTTGGTGTTGTGAATCAGGAGACAGACCCTCTCTGTGCAGAGTGCCGATTGGTGCGGCAGGACCCCTTACCTCAAGACCTTGTGATGTTCCTGCATGCCCTGCGCTATAAAGGGCCAGACTTTGAATACACTTCACCTATGCCCACCTGGGCACAGGATGACTGGCAAGAAGACTGAGAGCTATGACCAATGAGGAATTGCTTTTTTGGGTTGGGGTCGACTCTATAAGCTGGTACTCAGGGTCTCTGCCAGAGGGAGGTTGGGTCCTAAAGGAACTTGCTCATATTACCTCCTCCCTCCTAGCTAGAGTTTAGGGACTTTTAGGTATGTAATATATATACCTTCTTTTTTAACACCTTATGTGTGTTTTTGTTTTTATTGGGGTTAAATTAACTTAGCAGAAAATCATTTAAAGTGTACAATTCAGTGGCATTTAGTACATTTACAATGTTGTGCAACCACTACCTTTATCTAGTTCCAAAGCATTTCCATCACCCTAAAAGGAATTCCATGTTCATCAAGCTTTTACTCTGCATTTCCCTTCCCCCTTCACTAGGCAACCGCTAATCTTCTTTTTATTTGAATAGATTTGCCTATTCTGGACATCAAACAAAATCGTGCCACATGTGGCCTTTTATGCTTGGCTTCTTAAATTTAGCATAATGTTTTTGAGGTTCATCCATGTTATAACATGTATCAATACTTCACTATGATGGAATCATTAATAATACTCTATGTGTATACAGAATAATATTCCATTGTGGTGATAGTGTTAAGTGTGTGTAAAGTTTCTGAGGAGTAACTGGTGGGTTTGAACTGCTGACCTTGTGGCTAGACTTCTACTGCTTTTCCTACAGTGACACACCAAAGCTCCATATTCCACTGTATGTTGTTAAGTGCCATTGAATTGGCACTGACTCATGCCCTATGCACAACACAACGAAACACTGCCTGGCCCTGCACTATCTTCACAATCATTGCTGTTTGATCCCATTGCTGCTGCCACTGTGCCAACCCAGTTTGTTGAGGGTCTTCCTCTTTTTGTCTGACCTTCCACTTAACCAAGCATGATATCCTCCAGGGACTGGTCCCTTCTGGTAATATGGCTGAAGTATGAAAGACGAAATCTGACCATCCAAGGAGCATTCTGGCTGTAGTTCTTCCAACACAGATTTGTTCTTCTAGCAGTCCATGGTACTTTAAATACTTTTCCTCTAACACCATAACTCAAATGTGTCACTTCTACAGTTTTCCTGTTTCACTGTCCAATTTTCACATGCATATGAGGTTATTGGAAATACCATGGCTTGGGTCAGGTGCACCTTAGTCTTCAAACGGACCTCTTTGCTCTTAAGCACTTTAAAGAGGTCTTGTGTAGCAGATTTGCCTAGTGTAATATGTCATTTGATTTCAAGTCCTTTCACCATTTTTTGTTAAATTGTGTGGATATACTCATTTTGTTATCCATTCCTCAGTTGATAGACCGTGAGATCACCTTCTGGCTATTAAGAACAATGCTGCTATGAACATTTGTACACGAGTTTTAATTATTTTGGGTATATACCGAAGAGTAGAATTTGTCATACGGTAATTAATTCTATTGAACTTTCTGAGGATGTGCCTACTCAGAATAAGTGTTTGTTCACAGTAGAAGCCCCATTTTACATCCTATGGCACTGTGGGTTAGGCGGTCTCTAACCACAATATTAGCTATTTAAGCCCTCCAGCCACTCAATGGGGAAAAGATGAGGCTGTCTGTTCCCTGAAAGATTTATAGTCTTGGAAAACTATATGCCAGAGCTGACTCCATGGCAGTGGGTTTTGGTTTTTTGGTTAGCAGTAACATACAAGGGTTTCAATTTTTACACACTTGTTATTTTCCATATTCATTATAATCATCTTAGGGCAGTGAGGGAGCCCTGGTGGTACAGCTGTTAACCAAAAGATCAGTGGTTCAAACCCACCAGCCTTTCCACAGCAGGAAAGAATGGGTAATCTGTAAAAATTATAGCATAAGAAACTATGGGTCAGTTCTACACTGTTCATTAGAGTTGCTTTGTGTCAGAATCTACTAGATGGTACACAATAGTGTGAGTGAAGTGGTAGCTCACTGTGATTTTAATTTTTAATTGTCTTAATTATCTAATAGTATCCTTTCATGCGGAGCTCTGGTAATAAAGTGGTTACCGATTGAGCTACTAACCTCAAAGTTAGCAGTTCAAAACCACCAGCTGTTCCACTGGAGAAAGATGAGGCTTTCTGCTCCTGTAAAGACTTACAGCCTCAGAAACCCCTGTACAGGATCGCTATGAGTCAGAACCGACTCCTCAGCACATAACAACCACCATCACCACCATCCTTTCATGTGCTTATTGGCCATTTATAAATCCGGGAAAATGCCTATTCAAGCCCTTTAACTATTTTTTAATTGGGTTGTTTGTCTTTATATTTTCTCCTATTTGGATTGTCTTCACTTCATTGATAGTGATTAATAGTCCTTTGATCCCCAAAAGTTTTTGAATTTTTAAAGGAGTTTATTTTTTTATTTTGTTGCTTGTATTTTTGGTGTCATATCTAAGAACTCATTGCCAAATCCACAGTCATGAAGATTTCTTTATCCCTATGTATTCTAAGTTGTAGTTTCCCATTTAGGTCTTTGATCTATTTTAAGTTAATTTTTTTAATGAAAAAAGGCAAATATTTCATAGAAAATCCCCCACTGCTATTGGGTTGATTCCAGCTCATAATGGCCCTGTATAGGGATTCCATGGCTGTAAATCTTCACTTCCCAGAGCGGCTCGTGGTTAGCAGCCCAGTGTTTGTCCTACCATGCCAGCAGGGATGCCTTTAAAACCTGAACACTTTATTTTAGGAGTGCTGTATACATTTGTCATGAGTATATTATATTTTCATTTGTCTTGTGTTTTTCTTGTAACTACCTTTATTTATTTTTTTATTGTAAATTGAGTGAAGGGAAACAGACCAGATCATCAGCCTTACTTTCAACCAATCATACATTTCGTTGCATCGCCATGATACACTCCCTTTCCTGTAACAACAGTTATCCTGCTTCCACCCTGTGGCTTCCCTTTCACATCTTATTTTTCACAAATGAACAAAGCAAAAATATTTGGTACACATACATAAAACAAAAAATATGTATCCATTTAAATGTCCTAAGGGCACATTTTGCAAGCCAGCCTCCTGCCCGTAGGCACAGAGCCTTTCTCAGTCCATGGGCCTAGAGTTCTCAGCTGCTCTCTCTCTCTGCATTTGCCTTTGCCACCATCTCTGCTGTCACCACTTCTCAGAGTAGGACCTCACGTTCCATTCATGCTCTTCCTTGACGGTCCAGGGTCATCTGTTTCTGAAATTAAAGATTAACTATTGAGTTTATGTATATATTGCAAAATAGAGGTCAAGTTTCATTCTTTTGCATATGGATATGTACTTATCCCAGGACCACTTATTGAAGAGACTACTTTCCCCATTGGATAGTTTTAGTACCCTTATTGAAAAATCATTCCAAAAGAGATGTATGTTGAGAGCACTATGGCTCTGTAGGATAAGTTAGCAGTTCCAAGCCCACCAGTTTCTCCATGGAAGAAAGAGGAGGCTTTTCTGCTCATGCAAAGATGTATAGCCTCCAAACCCTAAATAGGTATGCTATGAGTTTGAACCAATTTAATGACACTTAACAACAACATGAATGTTTGTTTCTTGACTTTCAATTCTGTTCCATTGATCTGAATGTGTTTATTTTTAGACTAGTCCCATACTTGGAGGCCAAGATAGACAAACTTAGTCTCTCATATTGTCAGGAGGGACCAGTCACTGGAGAAGAATATCATGTTTGGTAAGGTGGAGGGTCAGAGGAAAACCCCAACAAGATGGATTGGCCAAGTGGCAGCATCGATGGACTCAAGCATGGCAACAGTAGTGAGGTTGGCCCAGGATCGGACTCGATGGCACCTAACAACAACAACAACCATACTGTGTTGATTACTGTAACTTTTAGTAAATTTGGAATCAGGAAGTGTGAGTCCTTCAAATTTTCAAGGTTGTTTGGCTGTTCTGGGTCCCTTGCTACTCCAAGTTAATTTTAGGATCATCCTTTCTATTTCTGCATAAAAGGACATTGAGATTTTAATGGGAATTTTGTTTAAATCATTTCAGGTAGTGTTGCCGTCTTAACAGTATTGCAACTTCTAATTCATGAACATGGGATGTTTTACCATATATTTAGATCTTTAATTTCTTTCAGCAATGTTTAATGGTTCCAGCATATAAATCTTGTACCTCCCTGGTTAAGTTTATTTTGAAGTTTTTGTGTGGTTTTTTAATGCTTTTCTAAATTTGTTTTTTGCATTGTTCATTGCTAGTGTATAGAAATAGAAGATTTTTGTATGTTAATTTTGTATCCTGTAACTTGGCTGAATTCTCGTCACTATAACAGATTTTTTATGAGTTCTTTAAGATTTTCTATATATAAATACAATCATGCCATCTACAAATAGAGATATTACTTCTTCCTTTCCAACTTGGATGCCTTTTCTTTTTCTTGCCTAATTGCTTTGTGTTTTAGTTATCCAGTGCTGCCAAAGCAGAAATACCACAATAGAGTAGCTTTGACAAATAAATTGACTTTTTTTCCCACAGGTTTTTGTTTTTTTTTGTTGTTAAGTTCTGTCGCATCAGTTCTGACTCATAACAACCCTGTATAGTATTTCCAAGGAGCAGCTGGTGGGTTTGAACCGCCAACCTTGTGGTTCGAAGTCCAGTGTTGATCTTAACAGTGCAACACCAGGAGTGTTTTCACGGTTTACGAGGCTGGAAGTCGAATTTAGAGTGCCAGTCTAGGGAAAGGCTTTCTCTCTCACCTTTGTGAAGAGGTTCCTTATCATTTCAGCTTCTGCTTTCTGGTGCCTTAGAGATCTCCCATGTGCCTTGGCATCTCTCTTTTCCCAAATCTACTTCTTTCTCTGGCTTGTTTTATTTCTTTTGTATCCCAAAAGAGATTAAGACGTATTTTTGTTGTTAAATGCTATCAAGTTCGTTCCAACTCATAGTGACCCTGTATAGGGTTTCCAAGGAGCAGCTGGTGAGTTTGAACTGATGACCTTACGGTTATAACTGACCTTGTGGTCCAGTGCATTATCCTACCAACTACCCATTTCCAAATGGAAGTATGTTGTTGTTATTATTAAGTGCTGTCGAGTTGGTTCCGACTCATAGCGACCCTATATAGGGTTTCCAAGGAGTGGCTGGTGGGTTTGAATTGACCATCTTGAAGCTCAAACTGACCTTGCAGTCCAGCGCATTAATCCTGCACCACCCCACCAGGACTCCAAATGAAAGTATAACTAACGCATTTTTTGTTGTTTTTGTATGCTATGGAGGCATTTCTAACACATAGCATATCTGGATAGAGTTTCTAAGGAGCGACTGGTGGGTTTGAACCACCAACCTTGTGGTTAGCAGTCCAGTGCTTATCCTACAGCTTCACAACTCCAAAGGCATAGAGGTTAGAGTTTACAATACCAACTTGGGAAGACACAGTTCAATCCATAATGCTCTGCTGCAACTTAAAGTACAGCGTTGAGTTGAAATAGAAAAGCAAGTTTCCTTGTCTTGTTCCAATCTTAGGGGAAAAACCTTTAGTCTTTCACTATTACTTGTAATGTTGTTGTTGTTAGGTGCTGTTAAATTGGTTCTGACACATTTTTGCCTTATGCACAACAAACCGAAACACTGCCTGGTCCCTGCACCGTCCTCACAACTGTTGTTATGTTTGAGCCCATTGTTGCTGGGCATCAGGATTGGAGAAAAACTCATTAACAACCTACGATATGCAGATGATACAACCTTGCTTGCTGAAAGTAAAGACTTAATATATTTACTGATGAAGGTCAAAGAGCACAGCCTTTGGTATGGATTACATCTCTGTAAAGGGAAAAAAGCCTCACCACTGGACCAACAAACAACATTCTTATCAATGGGGAAAAGATTGAAGTTGTCAAGGATGTCATTCTTCTTGGATCAACCATCAACACTCTTAAAAGCAGCAGCCAAGAAATCAGATGATGAAATATTGCATTAGGCAAATCTACTGCACAAGACCTTTTTAAAGTGTTGAAGAACAAATACTGTCAACTTGAGGACTAAGGTGCCCCTGACCCAAGCAAAGGTATTTTCAATAACCTCATATGCATGCAAAAGCTGGATAGTGAATAAGGGAGACCATAGAAGAGTTGATACATTTGAGTTACGGTGTTGGAGGAGATTATTGAAAGTACCATGGGCTGCCAAAAAACCAACAGATCTGTGTAAGAAGTGCAGCCAGAGTGCTCGTTGGAGGCTAGGATGGCCAAACTTCGACTCTCATACTTAGGACATATTGTCAAAAGGGACCAGTCACTGGAGAAGGATATCATGTTTGGTAAGATGGAGGGTCAGAGAAAAAGAGGAAGACCCCAGAGAGATGGATTGGCAAAGTGGCAGCATCAGTGGGCTCAAGCATGGCAACAATAGTGAGGTTGGCCCAGGACCAGGCAGTGTTTTGTTCTGTTGTGCATAAGGTCACTATGATTCGGTACCGACTTGATGGCACATAACAACAACAACAATGACATGTTTCCAACACACACACACACACACACACACACTAACAGGTATAGGAAACAGCCCTCCAAAAAGATTGTATCAATTTACGTTTTCCTCCTGCAGAGTGTGAGGCAGAGGTAGCTGAATGCAATGGCTGAAACAGCTGTTTGTGTGTCTGCATTTCCAAGTTTGGCTTTGGTTCCAGCTGTGGTTTGGAACCAGGTGTTTCCTGAAATGTCTACATCTTTTAATGGATGACCTAGATTTGCTTGGGTCAATCCTGCTCCTTAAAGCAGTAGAGAAAATGGGCTCATTGCAAAACTTCATCAGATTTTTGTTTAACTTTTTATTGTGAATTGAGTGAAGGTTTACAGACAAGATCATCAGTTTCATAGTCAACAAATCATATACTTTGTTTCATCTCAATCATTGCAATCCCCTCCATGTAATAATAGTTATCCCACTTCCTCTCTGTGGTTATTATTTCCATTCCACCTACCTTCCCATCCTTTCTCAACTTTATCCTTAGGTAAAAGTTGCCCTTATGGTTTTGAATGGCCATTTCATCATTCACAGTGAGCATACCTTATTAGTGTTGTTTTGCACGCTATACACCTCTCTGGAGTTCTGGTGTGGCGCTGTGGGTTAATGTGCTGGACTGCAAAGTCGGGTTGAGCAGCTAGCTGCTCCTCAGAAACCCTATACAGGTTCACTATAGGTAGGAACCAACTCAACAGCACTTAACAACAACGTTTACCTATCTATTACTTGACTGAAAGTTGAGCCAGGAGGGCGAGTTCTGTTGTAGGCTTGAAGGGTGGGCCAGGGCCATGGTCTCCAGTTCCTTCTCTTTCTGACTGGTAAACCCTGTCTTTTTTTTTTTTTTTTTTTTTTTATAATTTTGAGTTTTATTCCACATATTCTGTTGCTCTATCTGGAACCTTCTAATATGACCCCTTTCAGAAGAATTGGTGGAGACCGAAGTTCACATGTTCCATTAGTCAGTTGGACTAATTGATTCCAAGCCTCTTCACTTCTCATCACTCTTTTTATTTCTGGAGAGACCACTAGCAGCATATTAGGCACTGCTAGTGAAAGCTTCATCAGGTTTGGGCTCACTGATTCTCAGGACTGAGTGTTTTCTATATTATAGAAAACCAAAGATGGAAGCAGGACAGCCTGAAGAATGCCACCAGGTTTTGGATAGATTAGTCATTGGTTCATCACCCATGTACTCACTCTGTTTACAACACTGCCTTCCTTGCATGTGGCAAACAATATTTTCTTTTCTTTTTTAAATTATTGTGGATTGAGTGAATGTTTACAGGGTAGCTCATCAGTTTTGCATTCAACAAATCATACACCTTGTTTCATTACAATGATTACAATCCCCTCCATGTACCATTAGTTAACAGTGTTTCTACTCACTTTAGCTCTTTTTATAAAAAAAAAAAAAAAACACTCAGGCATATATAATAATTTACACCACCAAAGGGCACATTCTGCAAATTTGCATCCTGGCCACTGTCTCTTAATCCCTCTCTTCCCATGAATCTAGAGTCCTCAGCTGCTCCCTCTCTCCATGTCCCCATCTCTGCCTCCATCTCTGGTATCGCTGATTCTCTGGATAAGGTCCCACATTCTGCCCATGCTCTTCTCCCTTGATTGTTCTAGGGTCCTTTGTTTCTGGACTGTAAGATTAACTACTTATAGTAGTTTTTGTTACAAAACTTCTACCATGACAATTGTGACAGTTGTAATTAGTCATAACAATTACTCACTATTGAATCATAAGAATCTTATCCCGATTTTCACCAGACCCATCTAGACAAGATGAAAATTATTCAGTGGCGACTTTCTCACCCCCCACACACTATTAAACTCCCCCTGGAAACCTTGTAAGCCAATCACTTCATGCCTTTATCACACCCTCATTTTTAATAACCAATGTCTAAGTTGCCCATCTCTATCTACCCAGTGTACAGAGGGGATAGCTTTGATACTTGATGTGAAGACTCCTTCCCTCTCTGTTGGTATTTAGAGTTACTACCTCCATGAGTATAAGGAGCTCTGGTAGCATAGTGGTTACGAATCGGGCTGTGAACCGCAAGGTCAGCAGTTCGAAACTACCAGCGGTTCCGCGGGAGAAAGATGAGGTGTTCTGCTCCCGTAAAAATTTACAGCCTCGGAAACCCTGTGCAGGGTCACTGGAACCGACTCCACGGCACTTAACAGCAACAACAACCTCCATGAGTATATAGGTCAAGTTCACTAAATTGTAGTCCTTGTCCATAGTCTCACCATACTTGAGACCAACCAGCCCTTCCTCTTCTCTCGCTCGTCTCCAGGTCAATGGGAGTCCATGGAACGTGGTTGAACTCAGCCCATTTCTTCATTGCTGCCTTTCCCCCTCTTCTACTCACCAGTAGACCAATGTGGTTGCCAACAAGCTTACATGCTTGCTCATATGTTCCCTTTGAGTTTCAGTCTTAGAGGGGAGTTTGTCCTAAAGGAACCTTTTTTTTTTTTTCATTCCTTCAACAAATATTTATTGAGTGCACACTTAGTAGCCTGAACTGCACTAGAAGCAGTGAGAGCCAGCCCAGGCCCATGCCCTCATAAAGCCTACATTCTATTAAATTCTAGCTGTGGGCTGCCAATGAGATGCAAATATATGTAGGCTTTATGCCTAGGAGGGCTGTTCTTGGGGCAAGGGATGGGAGAGTGGGGTGAAGGAGGCAAGGATGCTACAAGGACTACAGTAAGGCCTATCTACCCACCCCCCTGCCTCTGCCCTACAGGGCTGCTGAGGGGAGGGGACAGTCAGGGCTCCACCCAGACGCTGCTGTTGATCATGGGAGCCCTGAACCAGCCCTTCCAGTAGACGGAGTCCTTCCCACAATGCTTGAAACGGATGAAGCAGACTCCAGTCCCGAAGTTGGTGAAAGTGTGGGAGATCTGCCCACTGTTGAACTCAACCAGCCCACTGGAGTACCAGTCCTTCACCACAATGGCTGGCTGAGTCGTGTCCAGCAGCTCCTCCCAGTAGCCTTCTGCCTGCCAGTCATACTGCCATTTTTGTTTTGGGTTTTTCCTGATGATCTTTCTTTGAAGATGTATTTTCTGTCACTCTAGTTGTTCCAGGCTGGTAAACAATATTGTCTATTATGACTATTGTTTTCTTCTCTTCCAAACCTTCTGTATACTCTCTTCATTTCAATTCAAGCTTAGCCATGTTTTCAAAACTGCATAATCTTCATCAGCTGTTAACCACATTGAAACAGTTAGGAATTGCCTAGTAAAACTGCATATGTACATAACCAATTATTCCATTTCTAACTGTATACCCTGAGAAACATTTTCATATGTATGCCAGGAGATGGGAAGAAGTCTTTGAGTGACATAAAAAGTTAAGCGCTTAATTATTAGCTGAAATACGGGAGATTAGAACACATCCCAAGGCTTGGAAGAAAGAAGTGGGGATCAGATTCCAAAAGTTCACAGCTAAGAAGACCCTATGGAACATTTTTACTCTGCACACACGGGTCACCATGAGTCTAGACCGACTCAAGGACAATTAACAACAACCAGGTGATAAGTATAAATTATTTTTTGTTTTATAAAATACTATGCATTGGGCTACTAACCACAAGGTCAGTAATTCTAATTCACCAGGTGCTCCATGGAAGAAAGAGGAGGCTTTCCGCTCTCATAAAAGTTTACAGCCTTGGAAAATCTATACAAGGTCACTATGAGTCGGAACTGACTTGATGGCACTCAGTCAACCAGCCATACTTATAGTAACAAAAAAACAGACAACCAGAGTGTCTATCAACAATAGACACCTAATTTTATATACTCAAACAATTGTATTCTAAACAACAGTGAAAATGAATTAATGAGTGTATAAAACACAAAACAATAATCGCTGAAAAACGTCATTTATGAATATATACAACATGATTCCACTTAGATATAATTTGAAAACACAAAATGAAATAATTTGGGGGGTATATACTCACATATTTGGTAAAGAAAAATAAAAGAGTGACTAACACCAAATTCAGTAATATAGTTACCTCTGTGGCAGGAGATCGCCAGTAGGGGATCTCATAGGATGCTTCAAAATGCTGGTAATGTTCTGTTTCTTAAGTTGGGTTTGGCATACTTGGCATTGGTTTTATTACTGTTCTTTATACAGTACACATACTATATTAACCATATGTGTATTGTATCATTATATGTATAAGATTTTTCAAAATAAAAATTAAATATGCTACAAGAGATCAAAATTTAAGTTGTTGTTTTTACTGTTAAGTGCTGTCAAGTCCGTTTAGACTCATAGGGACCATGTATAGAGTTTCCTAGGAGTAGCTGGTGAGTTTGAATCACTGACCTTGGGGCTCAAACGGACCTTGTGGCAGAGTGCTTATCCTACAGCGCCATACCAGGACTCTGAAAATAAGATATACTAAAAATTTTTCCTTCACTTTTGTTTTTTCCATCTTTGTTGCTGTTGTTAAGGGCTGTCGAGTCAGTTCTGACTCATTGTGACCTGGTATAGGGTTTCCAAGGAGAAGCTGATGGGTTTAAACTGCCAACCTTGCAATCAGCAGTCCAGTGCTTAACCTATAGCGCACCTTGGATTATCTTTAAAATAGTGACTTGCTTCCATGGTCCCCTTTCTCCGCAGATCCCAAGGTCTATTTGACCTCCACACAGCTAATGGGAACCACTCTCAAATGCCTAAATTATTTTATTTTACGTCAGTTTCACTAGGGGTGGGAGGGGGTGGGGGAAAGTCATGTTAGCCTACATTTTGAAAACTATAATGATATGTGGGCTCCAGGTGTGCCCCTGTAGGATCAGCACTGGATTGCGAACCACAAGGTTGGTAGTTCAAATCCACCAGCTGCTCCTTGGAAACCCTATACATGGAAACCCCAACATAATAATGCTGTTGTTGTTGTTAAGTGCTGCAGAGTCAGTTCCAATTCATTGTTGTTGTTAGATGCCATCGAGTTGGTACTGACTCATAGTGGCCCCACGCACAACAGACCAACAAACACTGCGAGGGCTGCAAACCACCACCAACTAAAATACTGGATAATTCTGCCCAGAGCACCTCATTCTAAAGAGAGATGAATTTTTCTGGAGTTGGACCAGGAGAATGAAAACTCACAGTCCAGAATAGTATTTGTAAGGAGGAATTCTAGTATAGATTAGGAATGGTTTGTCTGATCTGTGGCTTGCTGATGAATTGTGGGTTAGAGGAGTTGTTATTAAGTGCTGTCGAGTCAGTTCTGACTCATAGCAACCCTGTGTAGGGTTTCCGAGAAGCAGCAGGTGAGGTGGTTCAAATGACCTTACAGTTCAGCGCATTAACAGCACCATAACAGGAGTACTGAGAAATCTATCCAAAAGTAACAGCCATTCCTGTGAAACTACTTTTTTTGTCCAAGTCGTGTAGGTTCAGCTTCTCCAGTAGAGGGCGCATCTAACTCTTTTAATGTCTTCACTTAAAAGTTCCTATCTTTGTTTCAGGAATAAAAAAGTAAGCTTCCAATTCAGTCTCACATATTTTTTTCCTTATAAATTCTTTCAGTGCTAAATATTTTCAAAAGTTCTACAATGGAATGTTTTCCTTTGATAAAATTATCCACCCATCTTTTATTTGCAGAAACTGGGCACACTTTTGTTATTAAGTGCCATCGAGTCAATTCTGACTCATAGTGACCCTGCACAGGATTTACTACGAATGACCAGTGGGATTGAACAGACAGTCTTGTAGCTAGCAGTCCAGTGCTTATCCTGCAGCGCTACACCAGGACTCCAGGCTCACTGTTAATGCCTAATCAAGTTTCCAAAAAGAATTCACCAATTGTAAGAAGCAGGTAAAACTCATAAAAATGATGCAGCCTTGTCAGTCTCAGTCAAACTAACTGCTAGTGCCAGTTTTTAGAGAGGGTACAGCTTTAATAAGCAATTGAAATACTGCTTGGCAAGTCCTGTGGGAAACCCAGGGACCTATCTATAGGAGCATCTAGGAGGGGTGCAGAGGTCAAAACCAAGAGAGAGCCCAGGAGCTAGTTGAGAGAAATGCAGGTAGGAACTACAGCCATAGAGGGCTAGAGAGGCTTATTAATGAGGAAGACATCTAAGCTGAGATCTGAAGGAGGAGCCGGAGCCACCAGGAGAGGTAGAATGCAAAGAGGTGAGAGAGCAGGAGGCATGTTCTAGGGTGAGAAGTTGTTGTTAAGTGCTGTAGAGTCAGTTCTGACCCATAGCGACCCTGTTATAGGGTTTCCAAGGAGCAGCTATTTAGTTTGAACTGCCGACCTTGCAGTTCAAACCGACCTTGTGGTCGAGCACTCATCCTACAGTGCCACAGCATTTCCAAAGGACTTAGGCAGAGAGAGAAGGGCCTAGTCAGTGTCTCAAAAGTGTTTGATTTTTTAAATATTTAAACTTTTTTTCTCTTCTTTTTCATTTTTACTTTTTGTTGTTTTTCCATTGCCAAAAATGTTTTAGAAAAATCTCTCAGGGGTTCTTAATCCTTTTTTCTGAAAATGGACTTCTATGACAGTCTGTAGTCCTGGTATGGCACTGTGGAATAAAGCACGAGACCATAAGGTTGGTTTGAACCTCAGGTTTCGTGGTTCAAATCCACCATCTGCTCCTTGGAAACCCTATACAGGGTTCCTATGAGTGGGCACTAACTCGACAGCACTTAACAATAACATGGCAGTCAAGTGAAGGCCATGGATACCTTCTCAGAATATTGTTTTACAAACATAAAATTAAGTATTTTGGAATTCAAAAACAATCAATTACATTGAAATCAAAATTTCAAAATATTTTTTAAAATCTGTGATGTACTAATATAAGTACTTGTTGTATAGTGCCGTCGAGTCAGTTCTGACCTGTATAGGGTTTCCAAGGAGCAGCTGGTGAGCTTGAACTGTCAACCATGCAGTTCAAACGGCTTTAGGAATGCATAAAATTATAAGATCTAATGGCGGGTCTAAAAACTATCATAATGTTGAAGTACTAAAAAGTGTAGTGAAGCCCCTGAGTGGTAAAATGGTTAATGTGCTCGGCTGCTAACCAAAAGATTTGAGTCCACTTTGAGGTGTCTCAGAAGACCTGGCACTCTGCCTTCCAAAAATCAGTCATTGAAAATCCTATAGAGCACAGTTCTACTCTAACACACATAGTCCAACTCTGACTCAACAGCTACTGGTTAAGTGTCCTTGAGTAGGTACCGACTCATAGTGACTTTATGCACATCAGAGTGAAACACTGCTGGTCCTGTACCTATCTCACAATAATTACTGTTTGAGCTATTGCTGCTGCCACTGTGCCAATTCATCTCATTGGAGGTCTTCCTCATTTTGGCTGACACTCTACCAAGCATGATGTCCCTCTACCAAGACTGGTCCCTCCTGATAATATGTCAGAAGACTGAGAGATGAAGTCTTGCCATCCTGGCTTCTAAGGAGCATTCTGGCTGTATTTCTTCCAACACATTGGTTTGTTCTTCTGGCAGTCCATGGTACTTTTAATATTGTCCTCCAACACCATAACTCAAATGCATCAATTCTTCTGTGGTCTTCCTTAATTCATTCTCCAACTTTCACAAGCATTATGAGATGACGGAAAATACCATGGCTTGGGCCAGGTGCACCTTAAACCTCAAACTAACAGCTTTGTTCTTGAACACTTTAAAGAGGTCTTGTGCAGCAGATTTATCTAACACAATAGGTCATTTGATTTCTTGAGCATTGATGGTTGAGCTGAACAAAATGAAGTCACTGACAACTTCAATCTTTTCTCCATTTATATGGATTTTATTAATTGGTCCAGTAGTGAGGACTTTTGTTTTCTGTACATTGAGATGCAACCCATTCTGAAGGCTGTGGTCTTTGATCTTCATCAATAAGTATTTTAAGTCCTCTTGGCTTTCAGCAAGCAAGGTTGTATCATCTGTATATCACAGGTTGTTAATGAGTCTTCTTTCAATTGTGATGTCACATTCTTATTCA